CCAAATAAAATGTTATTTTTATAACATAGGTCATATTACTTTCAAATGTGTATATCTGTGTGTTCATCCTCTTCTCTCTCATAGCACAATTGTCTAATATATATATAATTACTTCAAATGTAGAACTACTTAAAATAAGATAATCATATACACATTCGTATCTGGCCATTTCTAAACTCTTACTAAAATTCTAAATGCTTTAAATTGATTCATGTTTTTTTCCTATTTAAATAATATCACTTAGAGATAATGCTATAGTAGTTTTTCCTTTTCAAATTTCCTAACCATATTTTCTTTCATATCTTATCAATTTGGCCAGGTCTCCCAGAACCATATCAAATAATAATAAATGTTGGTGGTACCATTACCTGCTTCTAAGTTTAGGAGGCTATGTCTAGATGGATGGATGCGGCTAAGTACTAGCTGGTCCTTCCAACTCCTTTTCATAGTAAACTTGACAAACTGATTATAAAACACTAAAGATATCTGCTCGAATTCATTAGATTTGGCACATCAAATGACAGACACCCTCTAGTCATGTAGCTGTAGATACCCCTTATCATGTTAAGGAAACATCTTGCTATATGAAAAATCATCAATTTTGAATCTTATTAAGTCATTTCAGAAAATCTATTGATATGATCCTGCTTTCTAAGAATTTCTGATTATACAGACTCTCTGGAGTCTGGTTTTTTCCTGAGAAAGGAAAGCAATTGGGCAGTTTTATGACGACATGTATTTTCTGTGCAAAGTGCTCACTTCTGTGAACAAGGAAAGCAGAGAAGAAGAACATTTATGGAAATGAGTAGGCATGAACTTGGCTGTTGGGAGTAGAAGACTGACCTGGAAGCTCTCAGAATTTGTGAGACATTTCCATCTCCTTTCACATGGAAGCCAGTTAGACATGTATAATCAGCAAAGTTAGACAGGAAAAATATCTAGAAATTGTGACAGCTTATGTGTGTGGCTGAGAAAAGTTGAGACTCTCACTCTTGTCACTTACTAGCTTTGCCATCCAGAGCAAATTACTCATACTCTGTCTGGGCTGGAGATTCTCCATTATTATGACAGAAACATGATTCTCACTCCAATTTTGTTGATGTGTATAAAGCTCTGGGAAGAGAGTAGATGCTCAGTAAACACATCAATCCTTGGTTGACCCTAATAAACAAAAGAACCAGTTATTTTAACCAGCAAAATGAGTTTATTCAGGAGTGACCGTGGAATTACAGTCTGGGACAAACAAACTATGGTGAACTATAGGCAAGTCCAGAGAAAAGAGGAGAGGGGCTTGCTTTAGTAGGGAAAATCAGAAGCTTGGAGGGGCTGTTTCACTGAGTTCTCATTGCTGGGCAAGGAGAAATTCTTCCTTTTTCCTGCTAGGGAATGGAAAGTGAGCTTTTTCCTGTTGGGGACTGCAAGGCATGCTTCTTAGGGCAGATGGTAGTGCATGAGAGCCTTTCCTCCAGGGCTTCCCTACTTCATTTTAAATGAAGTTTCCTTCATTTTCGAACCTTATGCCTTCTTATTTGGGGTCTACTATAGAGTACACACCTCAATGTAATAGGTGACATTGATCAAGGGGTTTGGCCATTTAGCCACTGCAGAATCAGAAACCTTGACTTTGTAAACTAGACAGTTTTATGCCCATTGTAGCCTTTGATTATTACCATGCTATTTTTTTCCCAGTAGTTATAGCAATTATATATATATATTCATGCAGTTGAAAATCTGCATATAACTTTTGATTTCCCAAAAACCTAATTACTAATAGTCTATTGTTGACCAGAAACATTACCAATAGCATAACTAGTCGATTAACACATATTTTGTTATGTCATATATATTATATGCTGTATTCTTCAATAAAGTAAGCTAGAGAAAAGACAGTGTTTTTTCAAAATGTCACAACTTTCCAGAATTTTTTCCAGTGTACTTATTGAAAAAGATCCACATATAAGTGGATTCACACAGTTCAAACCCATGTTGTAATTATAATTGTTTGAAAGATTCAGACTGGCTCAGCCTTGCTAAGAAGAATCAAGAGACAGTGTTCTGGTACCCTCTTGGCTCATGGGGTCCAGTGAGAGGGAGACATTAGCAAGGTCACAGGTCGACTTGTTTAAAGTCAATTGTTGTGTAGGTACAGATAGCAATGTCTGTGTGTGATTGAGTAGGGTCTCTGATGAAATGAGAATTTCCGGGAGGTTTTTACCTAGGGATCTAGTCATGGGTGGCAAGACTGAGAGCAGAGCCACTGCTTGGAATAATCTAAAAATGGCATTAGAATGAGTATGTCCTTTGTTTTCTCCAGCTTCAATGAGGTATAATTAACAAATAAAATTGTAAGATATTTAGTTTTACAACATGATGGTTTGATATATGTATACATTGTCTGCTTCTGAAGACTGGCTATTTCTGTATGATCTCTGAGAATCCTCAGTTTGAGGTCCCACATTGGAGTAGCCTTCCAATTATGTGGAATTTTGAATTGCTCCTATAGTTGTGAGCCATGAACCCAGTGATGAACTCCCTGGAGTTTCACTGCTCTATTTGTTGTTAACAGTATTTGATAAGGTCCTTTCCCAGGTGGCTCATTAGCAGTTTTACTCTGATGTCTTTTCCAATAGATAAAATCCAGTGGTTGAAAATCATGAAGAGATTATTTAGAAAGATTTTGTGGGAAACTGGCCTGAACCTGCTAGGTATAACAAATGAGTCCCTTGAAATATTTTGTGAAAGAATGAATGAATGAATAAACAAATTCTAAATTGACCCCTGTGGGGACTGTTAAAAAGAGACAACAGGACCAAAATGGAGTCACTTGTGAGATGTCACAAACTAAAATCAAAGTGGAGCCAGCTTGGATTAGGGAAACAACTAAAACGGAGCTGGGAGGCCACTAAGGAAATAGGCTCTGCCACACCAACAGTCTTATATCTGAGAAGGATGTCAAACTATATCCCTGAGACTACCATTTGTTATGAATTTATATGGGCACTTGCCTGACTCCAGCCACAGCAATCAAATCAGAAACTGAAAAATGTACAGACTTCTCTACTGGCTCTAATCACAAACATCCAAAACAACTTATATAAGTGAATCGACTTGCTGCCATTTACCTCTAAAAGTCTTGAACTTTGGCAGCAGTTCAGAGCACAAGTTGGGTTCTACCTAAATCTGTGTGTCCCAGATTGCAAGTCCCTCTACCCCAAATAAACTTAATTAATTGCTTTACAGCTTTGCCTTCTTTGGTTGATAGCCCCAAATCAGCAAGTTAATACTTAATACCTAACCTAATCACAGTTTCAGCCTCTCCCAGAATCATAACCTTTACCCAGTCAATCTGGAATTACCTGGTCAGCACTAATGTGGTATTCAGCCTGACAGACCCCCTCCATCTCCAAGGAAGGTGATCTTGCCTGAAACAATCCACTCTGCTAGAAACTTCCCTATTTCATGTTCCTCTGCCTAAACAAGTCTTTCATTTTGTACATCTCTTTGCAGCTCCTTTCTGCTTGGTAGGTGGGATTCTGCCCAATTCATGATAATTGAATAAAGCCAATTAGATCTTTAGATTTACACAGTTGAATTTTGTTTTTTTTTTAATCAAATTTTTAAACTCTGGGGATCCATGGAATCCCCAGAGTTGATATGAAGATTATTTTAAATGGAAGGTATTTGAGACTTATCAGATACAGAAAGAAGCCTTTTAGGAGCTTCTCTTATTGAATAAGGCATAAAGTAGAGCTGCCATAAATCCCCACTGGGGAAGGTTTACAGCAAAGAAGAAGACAGACCACTTGCCCCTACACAAACAAACATTATCATAAACTCTCTTACTTCCCTTTTGTTTCCCTACAAGCTCATTTATCTTTTCTTTTAAAAACCCACTTATTTCCTATAGAGCTCCTATTCACCCCACTTCTTTCCCTTATTAAGTTGGTATATAAATCCTTATCCTAGCTGTTCAGGGAGCCACTTCTTTTGTGCTCCTCCATAGGCACATGAATAAACTTTGTCTATTCTGTTCTTCTGTTTTTTTGTCAGTTAATGTACAGGTCCCCTGAGAGGAACCTAAGTGGTTAGGGATTGTTTTCCTCCCAACATCACTCAAGATGGAAGGAGTTGATCTATCTAAGGACTAAGAGACAAACAAAACCTGACTGGAGGACAGAGTGGTGGTGAACTATGGGAACAGAAACTAGAAGCTCATGCCATACCACATCTTCCTTAGCCCCACTTCCACTTCCAAATTCATACACAGTAGTAAATAACATGGACCCTTCTACAAATTTCTTGGATATCATGTAACAGAACAATTAAAAAATTTCCCTTTCAAGAATTTTGTTTTTCTCACCAAGGTCCCCTTCTTCTCTCCTCTTTCCCTCCCCAGGGCTTCAAAACTGCATGCTATTTTGAGCTCACATTTTTAGCAAAGCAAAAGCCTGGCAGTTGCTGGACTCCATGCTCTGTGAAAAGCAAGTCAGACATCAACCAGTGTTCATTCATGGGCTTCTTGTGGGGGATCTCAGCATCAGCCCAAGTGAACGATCATGATAACATTTACTGTGCTTTCTAAACACTACTTGGCAGCCCTCTCCACACTTACCTTACTTTGTCCTAATAACTTACCTAAGAGGTATATATTATGATCCCCATTTTATAGACAGGAACCTGAGAAACAGAGGAAAAAAATTAAGTTCTGTTACTTGCCCAGCTCTTAAGGTGCAAAACCAGAATTTGAACTGAGATGTTCTAAATCCAGAGCATGGAGGGAATTTTGGTAATTCTCACTCCAGAGGTATCAAAATTGTCACCCAGAAAAAACAGTTCTCTTCCTAGGAGGGAATTTTGCTGCTAAGAAATATGATGTTCTCTACTTTTTCTCTGAAAGGCATTTTGGGTTTCAGCTTATCTTTAGTTCCTCTACTCAACTGACCTACAGGAGGAGTGGTCATAGAAGATAAGAACTGCCTCACCCCAGGAGTGTTTAAGTAGCCAGAATTGGGTAGGTCACGTAGAGGTGTCCTTCTCCTCCCTGTTCAGACACTCTCTCCTCCCTCTCCAGACCTGGGAAGCCTTCCATCTGGGGGCATCTGGACACTTGTCCCGCTCCTCCCAGGACAGGTACTGTTGGGAGGTATGGAATTCCAGCCAAGGCCACTCCAGGGCTCCTGGGAAGAAAAAGGGCTTCCCCTTTCCCTCCCTCTCCAGTGATCACATTTAAAAAAAAAAACTTTGCTAATCTCTGAGGGCTATTTGGTGAAAATGGCCCTTGAAAAGATTACAAGGCCTTGGTTGGGGTTCAGGGTGTTAGTGCTATAGTGACTTTCTTTGCAGCTCCCCGTGGACCAGCAGGCAGATATTCACATAGTAAGAAAGGCTGCTATTGTAGGCAAAGACACTCTCCTCAGCAGTCCCGAAAAGAGAGTGGCCCTGGAGAGTCCCCTACTCTGCCAACCCTGACCCCCCCAACTCCTGCACCTCACAATGTTCTTGTTTTCCTTTAAACTGATACCGAGATGCTCCTCCCACCCTTCTCTTCTAGGAAGCTAAGCTTCTTTGTAATCTGTATTAAGTCCACACCCAGGGATTCAGTGATTGCAAAGACTGGCCTTCTGTTACCTGCTGGAGACCAGACTAGAGACCCAAGTAAGTGGCTCAGGGTTTGTCCTCAAGAGCTGTTTCTGCTTGAGGGTTGGAGAGGAGGGACCTGGGTGGATGAGGCTAGTCCCAAGGAAGCCTGGGCTAGCAAACATCAGCTGGGAGGAGAGCTGGGATGGGGATGGAGAATGCAGGCTGCAGAGAACCCCTGGTGCTGGAGAAGGGGCAGCCCCCAGACTGGGGGAGCTCAGTGTCTCTCTTTGGAATATAATGATGCCCTTTATGACGCCACTGTCAGGCATTAGGCTGAGTTTCCCTTTTGTTGAGGGACAATAGAGTTCTGTCAGCCAGATGCTGGATATTATGGTGATATCTCAGGGATATAATCTGGCCCATGATTTATTCTAAAGGATCTTCTAATGGGTTGCTTGAGCACTAGGTGCAAATATATTTTATTTTTCAAATGTATTTTAAATTGAAAAAATCTCCAGTATTTAAAGACAGTGATGTCAGGCAGCTGCATCTGGGGAAATCTCTCTGTGCATAACAGCCGTGGGGACAGGAGTGGACAGGAGTAGGGTGGAGGGTCAGGCAGGGGGCTAGTTCTTGACTCTGATAAAGAATTCTTGAGAAGGTCGGACTAGTGTGATAAGGAAGGAAGGAATTCACTAAAGCTGGAGTAGTAGTGAATGACAGCAGCCAGGCAGGCAGTAGAGAGCAAGGAAGAGCAGAGGGAGGAAAGGAAAGTTCATTGAACTTCTGCTCAGCATGGGAAAAATCCCTTGCCAACTCCTGATGTCCAGTATCTGCCTGAGTCTGCACAGTGTGGGAACCAAGTCCCTACCACCCCAGGATTTGGAGGAGCTTCAGAGCACTAGATGGAGTGGGATTATGTTCCGAGAAGTTCCCAAAGGCAAAGCAAGGAGATTTTTGGGCAGGCTGCTAAAGAGCATGATCATATAGCTGCAGTCCTTCCAGGTTACAGAGGTGATGGGAACTGGCAAGCCCAAATCAGAGATCTCAGTAGCCCTTCCCTACTTGTCTGAAGTAGAAGAGAGAGAGGAGACTAGTGCTTAAGTCTAGAAAATTGAATGAAGTAGCAAAGTAGCAAAGACACTTACTACAGGAAAAGTGCAGAGAATAAAGTGCAGTAAGCTGAGCAGCGAGAAGTCTTTATTTAAGGCAAAGTACACACTCGAAGAAAGGGGTGAAGGCAAATTCTGGTGCGCTAAGACCCCCACCCCTTAAGATCCAATCACCAATGCAGAACACACCCTACCTCTACTCCTTAAAAATGCTCTTCCTCACCCACAAGCTGCTGCTCCCCCTCTCTGGGGGCAGCCATTTTTTCTTTCAGATAATAAAATCTCTTGCGTGGGCCTGGGTCTCCTGAGTCGTTCTGGGGTAAGGAAGGTCCCGGCGAGATACCCTTTCAAAGGGAGTGTGGCAATCTCAGAGAGGTGTGCTTAGAAGCTCAGGATTTGTGTATTTTAAGGATTTCAAGAATGGGGCAAAGGACCAAGGGGTGTGTAGGCTTGACATGTGGTCTCATGATGTCTTTTCCAGTGAGAGACATTACATCACCATCCATAGTCAGTCCTCTAGATAATTCTGTAAGGTAAACTTAACACAAGGAACTTATTGATCCTGTTCTCCAGGGTAGTGGTTACCCTCAAACAATGGAAACATATAATTTAGGACTGGCTGCTTGCCCTGCCTTAAGATAGAGTAGGTTATTGGCTGATTAATGTAAAATATGTTAGGAATTTACCTCCTGACTCCCTGGTTTTTAAAATGGAATCCTAGCCTTAAGGAGTCCTTCCTGTTCTTACTACACTATTTATATCTTGGCATTTTTCATCATAAGCAGGAAAAATTAATCATGATGCTGTGCCATGTCCCTGCCCTACCTCAACAGGACTTGCAGCATTTTAGGTCACTTCCAAGGCCACCATCCAGGGGGAAGGGCTGCCTCTCTCGAGGGAGTGGGAGTCAAATCCTCTTGGAGAAGAATATATGTGGGTGTCTCACTACTTGGAAAATCTCACAAAGGGACATCTTCCTGGCACCTGAAGGGAGACTGTAAGCCAGGGAGGCTGCACGTGGGAGTTGGGTTCTCTTTCTAAGGCGATGCTTCTCCTGCTCTCCTCTTCTCTGGGCCAGGCTTCTGGTGAAAAGTGAAGCCACCATGGCTCAGAAGACCCTCGTGCTGTTCCCACTGCTTGTGCTGGTGCTGGGGTGTGTCCAGGGCAAGGAATCGCTGGTCATGAAGTTCCAGCGGCAGCACATGGACTCGTGCAGCGCCCCCAGCGGCAACTCAAGCTACTGCAACCAAATGATGAGACGCCGGAATATGACTCAAGGATGGTGCAAGCCGGTGAACACCTTTGTGCACGAGCACCTGGAAGATGTCGAGGCCGTCTGTCTCCAGGGAAATGTCACCTGCAAAAATGGGCAGCCTAACTGCCACCAGAGCAGCTCCAGCATGCGAATCACGGACTGCCGCCTAACGGGCGGCTCCAAGTATCCCAACTGCGCGTACCGGGCCAGCCCGAAAGAGCGATACATCATCGTGGCCTGTGAGGGGAAGCCGTACCTGCCAGTCCACTTCGACGCTTCTGTGGAGCTCTCCACTTGAGGTCTCCAGTAGATGCCCCACCTTGTCATTGTGACACCTGCCTCTCCCCTCCTCCTTCCTTGCCCTGAGGGAAATAACTCAAGTTAGGGCTCCTATCCAATACTTACATGCTTCCCTGGCCCCAGCCATTTTGGTGGTGGGGAGGAGCGGGTTGTGAGGTGGGCTCCATGTTAACCATTTTATGCTTCTTTCAATAAAACACAGTTGCAACCACCCGGATTCTTGGAGCTGTCCCCATCCAGGTACTGTTTGTGTAATTGCTTTCCTGACAGAAGCGAAGCTTTGGTGAGCAGTGAATAGAATCATCGACTGCCTCCTCTTTTTAAGTTTCAAGTGTGGGTTATTTTAGATAAAAGGGAGCTACAGTCTGGGACATTGTCATGCTGGGTAAACTGACAGAGGACAAAGCTCAACACAGAAATTTCTGACCTAGAAGGAAGGTTAGCATGACCTCAGGAAGACTCTGCCTCATCTTTGGGTGGAAGGAGGGTATATGAGATTGTTACCCTACGTTCCCATATTTGTTTTTCTGAGTGAGCTAGTACTAAATCAGAAAAATGGCTACCTCTTACTTGAAAAGTGTGAACCTTCATTTGACGAGATAGAAGGGACTTCACAGATTATGAACTTGAAGGAATTTAGGTAGATTTCAACTTGTATGCCCTCTGATTGGAAGTGCCTGCCAAGAATGCTGTAGAAAAAGGCCTACACAGTGATGTGGCTGAACAGTAGCCTTAGCAAAGGCATGACAGAGGTAAGGGTCCACGTGCCACCCTTGTGCCGTCCCTGACCTAATGCAACCTCTGTCTTTTCCATAGGAGCAGTCTGAGTCTCAGAAAGGTTAAGTGGCTTGCTTGGGTCTGCTGCCCGTTAGTGGCACAGCTGAGAGTAGCCCTCCTGGCTTCCCCGTTGTTGCTCCTTCTGCTCCTGGGGTCTACTCAAGGAGGAACTCTGCAGACTCCCTCCTTCCCTGAGTGCAGAGGAGCCTTGGCCCTCTCCCTGGGCTGCTTGCGCCTGTGAGTCTTCAGGTCTTGGCACCCCTTCCTTACAGTCCTTGAGAAGACTAAACTTGGCTTCTGTCATCACTTACTCATTTCATCTGATCCCCCTCTCTGTAGTTGCGTTTGGTCTAGGCAAGGTCGGAACTAGACAAAGGACCTGTTTACAACTGGTTTGACCAGTTCTGACATTGTCTTTATACAATACACTTAAAAATATTGGAAGTGACTGTATTTTTCTTATGTAGAGTGAATCCATAGTCCTGGGGGCTTCTGTAGGAGGAAGAAGGCCTGCAGGTGAGGGAGATCAGATAGCTCTGCATTTCTGTGGCAATGGTATTTCACTTCTTCCTGGTGTGAAATAAAATGAAATTGTGTGGTTCCCCACAGTGGTTCTATAGACAAAGGCTACAGAGGCCTGAGTCAGCCAGGGCAGCTCCAGCTGTGCCACGAAGATGTCCCGCAGCCATTGGGCCTTTGTTGCAGGACAGCCCCTCACCCCTCATCCATTGTTACAGGACCCCAAAGACCAGGTTCCTGAGTTTCAGTGTCATAGAAATGAACATTGAACTCAAAAGAAAACAAGAAGGTGGAGTTTATTAGAGATAGGTTGCATAGAAAGAGCTGATAGAAAGAGAAGTCAGGCAGACTGGAAAGGGAATGCTGAGGGGGTAAAGTGGTCCTTGAAGGTCCAGGGATTTAGAGGTATGGCAATGATTGATCTTGATGTTTCATGCTAGTATGTCTCCAGTTGAGGCACTACTTTGACATTTAATAGATGTCAGTTTATAATCTCACAGTCTGTTAATCAGAAGGTTTTCCTAGAACAGAGGCTTTCAGAAAAGAAAAAAAAAGAAAAAAATTGTCACAGGTCAAGTTAACTTAGAACTTGTGTGTGATTAAGTGCTTTTCTAAGAATATGTTTTCAAGTTAAGTACATGTGCCATGATGGAGGCTCATTCCAAAATGGAGTGACACTTGTTCAATCCCTGCCTGCTTCAACATGACAAGATTAAAACCAGCCTGGGAGGCCCCAAAGAAGATAAACCAGTGTGATTTTTGTGTCCCTAGTAGAACCCTTTAAGAGATTAACTAACAATCCTAATCCTTGCTTCCTCTCACATACAGATGTGGCATCAGAATATTCATTGTCCATTTTAGGACACTGCCCTGGTGTGTTTGATTGACATAACCCCTTCTCCAGGTTCTGCAGCCATTCCGTGTTGTAAAAAAGTATTTAAGATGTTCCCTTCCATTTTAGGACACTGCCCTGGTGTGTTTGATTGACATAACCCCTTCTCCAGGTTCTGCAGCCATTCCGTGTTGTAAAAAAGTATTTAAGATGTTCCCAAATAAAGGGGCTTTGGAGCAGTTTATCAGGAAACGCTGATGGGCTGCTCTGGTATCACAGTCCTCTGTAGAGGCTGAATACACTTTTCCTTGCAATGGCCAGCCTTGTTGATTTTAGTCAACACTAACAGGAGAGAAAAAGGAAATTAATTTTCTAGACATGCTTCCTTTAGCCAGAATTTTTCTAACATTCATTGCCTCTTTCTTTCCAAACCAAAAGCTTCTCATCCTCCCTCCTGCTGTTACTAACAGAACACTTTGGTGGAGCTTTTAAGTGATAGGTGACAACAGATGGTCCAGCACCAGCCTGCCCAGCCAAGGAGCTGGTGGGGAAGCAAAATGCTCTTAATAAGAGGACACTGGGAGAGGAAGACCAAGCCTTGTCCTGGAGAGGGAGTCAGAGGACAAAAAAGTACTAAGAATACATGCTTCTGAGGAGTGCCCAACCTTAACATGTAGGTTATCTAAAAGAAAGACCTGATATGTGGTCTTTAGGGCATGTATTGTATGTACATCTGCTTATCTGAGTAGTTTCATGAAATTACTTTGTGCCTAGGTAATGATAAAAAAAAATACCCCCTACCATCCATTTCTGCATATACTGATCTACAGAATCAGCATGACTTAGATCCTTTGTTAGAAAGTATACATCACCTTGTAAGAAAGCTCTCCTCTCCAGAGTACTTTTCTTCTTCAGAAGGACTGCTTCCTGAGCAGCTGTCCTAAACCCCAGCTCAAGTAGAACTCTAGTAACTCTTTTCTGGAGTTTTACTCTAGGATTTTCTTTTTGTTGACACAAGCAAGGAGAGGAAGGTTTCAGTTGCCTGGGGACAAATCTGGGATCTCTGCTCTGCAGGGGGACCATTGCCAGTCCACACATAAAGGAGTGCTGGATGCTTCCAGGAGACTGAACCAGGCAGCAGAATCTTATAAGTGAGGAGCTAACATGGGAAGATGGGTATCTGCTTGAAGGCAAAATGACCATATGCAGTGATAAAATTGATTTGCAGAGGATTCTTCAAATCCAACAAATTTGTGGAATTCTGGGTTCTCAGCAGACAGGTGAACACATGTCAGCATCCCAGCCCCTCCTCACACCTGCAGCCCATGTACCCACACAAGGGTGGTGTCTTCTGCCTCTTCTGGCCTGCTGACTCTCTCCTGCCTCTCTCTGTGGTAACTGCTCCTTCAAATGTGGCAGGCAGTGGTCCCCAGCCCAGCACTACCCCACATCAAAATACATGTCATCCACACCCAAGATGGGCCCTTCAGTCAGCAGCATGAAGGACGATGGAGTCAGGTCCTTTCTTTCCAAGGGCTGCCTCCTCAGTATTTGCATGGTGAGATTTCGCTTGGAGTGTAAAGTGCACCGCCATTCCCAATCCCCACTCATGCCTTCTTAGATGGATTCTGACCTCGCAGAGCAAGGGAGACCACTACGGCGACGCTGAATCTATCCCACTGTGGTGGAGAGCACTTCCATATCACTTTGGGGACTGATGAGGAATGTGGGCCAGCGCGCCACAGCCAGGATTCGTGACTCATGACCTCTGTGGAAGGAAGGGCAGGAAGGCACACCACCTGAAGACTAGACAGAGGTGCACTGGGAGCCTCTCAACAGCATTCCCCTGGAGCCGCTTTCTAGGGGACAAATCGTATATACTCTGCAAATCATTCAGTAGGTTCACATGTGCCTCAGGGGTCTTTGTGGCTTGCATTAAGTGCAGGTGGGAAGGTGTGCCCTCGGCTTCCTCCCTCCGTGTTTATCTCTCCCCCCACTCTGACTGTCTTCTTGATTAACAATAAAGAAGGAGTCATTCATCTGATGGGACAGAGTCTCACCAGGCATGTTTTACTAGCAAGTGTGGTGACTGTACTTTAAAGCTCTTTGTGACTACACGTCACTGTTGCTCCAAGTCTGGGCAGGAAACACTCAGAGTCATTTTCTTTCCCTTTCCAACTTCCCTGAGTATGCAGCTGGGTGGATAATGGGGCCAGAGCACCTGATTCCACCCTAGCCCTACTATCAGCTTCCTGTGCCCCTGAGGCAAAGCTGTAGCCCTCTGTGGACCATGGTTTTCTAATCTGTAAAACCAGGGGGTAGAGTTGCTAATCTCAGATCCCCTCAGACGGCTTTGGCATGCAGTTCTGCTTGTGTGTGAGTGGCCGTCTCTAGAACTGTCACATCACTGAGATCTGGTTTAGCTCAGAGCTCTTCTCTCAACACAAAACCACGTTTAGAGGTCTGGGTCATTCAAGCAGACTTCAAACACTCTTCTAGGGCAGATTTTCCTCTCAGGCAACTTGAGGCAGCCTTTGAAAGTCAAAGCTGCCAGCTAGTTTCCACCAGGGCTGTTAGGCTTCCTGGACCCTGAGAGCCCATGGAGATTTTTAGCCTGGCTCAGATCCCACAAAAGGGAGATATTACCATGGAGGTGAGAGACGACTGTGGAGGGGAGAGATGACTGTGGAGGCGAAAACAAGGCAGTGTAAGAGAATGCAGAGTGGGATCAGGAATTTCCTGAGCTTCACTAGAAACATGCTTGATAAAAATTGAGAGCTGGGCCCTGCTCCAGGCCAGCATGTTTGGTGGCATCTCTTCCTCACCTCCCTCAAGCTCCCCTTTCCCCTCCCATAAATACCACCAAACAATTATTTAAGGGGAGGGCTCTGGTGTAAGGGGACCCTGGCTATTGTAATAAAGGGACAAAAATCTGTTTGCATGGGACCATGAGTGTGTGTGCGCAGGGCTAGATATACAAGTGATCATATTTAATTCTGAGGAATTAAGGAACATCAGGAAAGGGAGGGCCTTTTTAACCTGGCTCTAAAGGCTTTATCTTAAATATAGAGAAACTGAAGCAAGAAACCAAGAAGGGAATGAAGAAAACCAGGTCTGTTGATTCCCAGAGTGTGCTTTTACACCTTGCCTCCAATTTTTCTTTTTTAATGTTTTAAAAGGATCAGACTGTAAAATTGACTTTTATGATACACAATTCTCTGAATTTTAATATATGTATGGAATTGCAGCATCATTATCACAACACAGGGCACAGAACAGTTCCCTCATCCCACCTGGCAACTGCTGATCTATTCTCTGTCACTATAATTTTGTCTTTTCAAAATATCATACAATTAGAATTGCACAGTATATAATCTTCTAAGACTAGGATTTTTTTCCTCAGCATAATGCCTTTGAAATTTATCCAAGTTGTTTCAGGGATTGGTAGTTTGCTCCTTTTTATTGCTGAGTAGGGTTCCATTGCTTGGATGTTCCACAGCTTGTTTATCCATTCACCCACTGAAAAACATTTGAGTTGTTTCCATTTTGGTTAATTATAAAGAGAGTGGCTTTAAACATCTGTGTACATATTTTTGTGTGCACTGATAGAAGACTAGATACACAGATCAATGGAACAGCATAGAGGGCCCAGAAACAGACCCACACAAATAGGGTTAAATGATTTTTGACAAAGTTGAATAGCAATTCTAGGAAGTAGGGGTAATCTTTTCAGCAAATTGAACACCCACATGCAAAAAAAAAAAAAAAAACTAACCCAAACAAACCCAAACTTCTAGACCCTAAATCTTTCTTCCCTTGCCTGCTTTTCCCATGGAGGCAGCTTTGTATTGGTGGAAAGACCTATGATGCTTCTAAGTCCTAGACCCACCAGCTGGATGCTGAGAAGGTGGGAACAATGAGGTGGGGACAGAGGAGATGATGCAGAAGACAGAGGAAGTATGAAGAAGGAAGGTAGAGGAAATAATAGATACAGTATCAGGAAAATAAGTGTGGATGAGACTTGGAGGTAGAAAGGGATCAGAAAACAACATCTGGAAGAATGGCACAGTTGGGTGCATAGCTCCTGCCCTTGGTTCTGGTGACTACCTGGTCTGGGAAGTTACACTAACTAATCAGGTCATTCAGGAGTAGAGGGAAAATTTGTTTTTTTCTCACAGGAAATTTAGCTCTGCTTTTTCAGAATTCCACCTTCATTTCTTTGGCTTTTGGCAATGGTGGGCCTGCTGTATGATATTTCACCAAAGCTCAGTATTGTGATGTCCTGTACTTGCTGTTTTTACAGCATCCATGTGAACTCCTTTGATTAAAACAGTAGCTGGGATGCTTCATTAGTAGAATTCCTGACACTGAGCTGCAGCCTGCCCTGCGATCTGGCTGCCGATTGGTTAATTGCTGGTTAACTGTCCTTAGACAGTTGGTTCACTGTCCTTAGAGGGTGCTGTGAAACATGACCACAGGAGAAGAAAAAAGAGAACGTTTCTGCTTTGTGGTAACAGCTGGAGCCCTAGGCTGTTATATTGCTCAATATTCCCCTTCCAAGATTTGTGGAAGAACTTTCTCTTCCTTGAGTTTTTTTTTGCTAAAATGAGGAAGAGTTTGAGTTATTAATCCAACCAGATGTGGTTCAAATCATGGTCTGCCCTTCAGTAATGTAATCTGGCCAAGTTTCTTTCTTACCCTCGGTTTCTTCACCTATCCTCTGACAATAATAACTGCCTGCACCCGCACTGCTTCGCATCTCAAATCAAGCAGCATCATTTCCTCAGGGAAGTCACCTCAGAGCCCACATGTTTACTCAAACTCTTTGTCAACAGTCTCATGACTCTGTATATCTTTTCTTCCTAGCACTAATTTAGATTGTAATTATATACCAAATTGGGTGATTACTTGGTTAATATCTATTTCCCCTGCTAGTGCCTAAATTCCATGAACCCAATGAAGCTGGACACATCATCACCACTTGATATATTGTTGAATGAATAAAAGAATAATGAAAAATTTATTAATGATATAAATGAAACCTGCAGCTGTCTTCAAAACACTGCCCTGTGCTTGAGACATTCTGCCATTCAAATGATGGAACTCAAGTATCTTATAATAGCTTGTCTCTTAAATGGGTTATCAAGTAGCTCAGGACAAACTTTAGTATCAAATGCATAATGGCAGTCTCAATGACCCACAAACATTTGGTGAAGAGCTATAAAAATAAAGTAGGAAGTAGAATAAAAGAAAATTTTGGGGAAAAACACACATTAAGTAATTTGTAAGCTCCACTGTGCATTAATGTGAGAGGGAAAAGGCAGGGGCTCTGTGCCTACATTCAGGTTCTGCCAGTTTAAGTGCCCCTTAAAAACATGACCTCAGTTAAATTGCTGCATCTCTTGGAAATTATTTAACATTTATAAAATGAAGAATGCTTATTAAAGTTGAATGTAGATTAAATAGAACAATTTATGTAACTACTTCTGATAGAATTCAGCAAACAGTATTTATTAATTCTTACATTCAACAAGTACTGATTAAAAACGCACTAGTGCCAGGCATTGTGCTGGAAACAGAGGATCTAGTGATGTAAATAACATGTTTTTGCCCACACAACAATCGTGGGGTGCTTTTTCATACCTATCAGACTGGCAAAAATGCAGGAGTGTGACACCACCATTTTTCTAGAGACAGGACATAGAGAAACAAGACTCATACTCAGAGAATTTACTTGAAGACTCTGAAACTATAAAATGTAAATGCAACACAGCTTGAAGGTGAGTATTATTGAAAGCTGCCCTCAGGTGAAGGACTCAGTTTCACCTGAGTTCCCCATACTGAGTACCCAGGTGCCAGCATGCCCTGACCTGCTTCTCTCTCTCTAATGGGAGGTCCCTTGAATAGGCATCACTCTTGGAATCCAGGCTCCTGAAACCTGAAACTTCTTACCTATTCTTTTTTCCTGAGGCAGGACATAAACATGTGGCATAAGGAAGGGGAGTCCAGCTAACACATCTAGTAAAGCAATGGTCTCATTTGGAAGGAACATTCTACAGCCCAGCTAGTTGACACACTTGTAACTACTTCAGTGTGTGGCCTTTCCAAGAGGCAGTATCTCTGGCCTGCTACTCCAGGACTGGTCACTCTGCAGAGCACTTTGACTTACACTGGCCGGCTAGCTCAAGAATGTTACAAGGTGACAGGAAGCTGGAACTCTCTCTGTGAAAGCGTTCATGAAGGGTAGAAGAACATTCTACCCTAAGATATGCCTCTTTGGCATAAGGATTATCTTGAGCCTATTATTTTGAGAAACTGCAACATAGGAGAGGTCCTGAAAACTGAGTACGAGTTACCTTTTTGTAAGGGAAACATATTAGAAAGGGGGCCTGTAGTAGGAAGAAAGCTCCTACCAGAGATAATCTTTTTGTCTGAGAGACTTATCTGCATGGAAGTGCAAACTATGTTTATCCAACATTTCCTCTTCTTACTTTCCTGTGAAGTGCCTTCTGCCTTTGAAGCCCCAGGCCCCTGTCCCTTTCCTTAGCTCAAGATGATACATTAGACTCAATCATCATGCCGCTTCCTTCCTTTGTGGGGCTGCCATATGTATGTATGTCATTAAAATTGTTTTTTCCCTGTGAATCTTTTTATTTTAGGGGTGGTCTCAGCTGAGAACCTAGAAGGATAGAGGAAAATAATGTTTGTTCCCCTATACCTAGGACCTAAACTCTTAATCCTAGCCGAATTCTTAATCCCAGTCTTTCAGCTTCTAAATCTAATACTATTTTTATTGATCTATGCTTTCTCTTCAACCATTTCAATAGATAATGGGGGAATTCACTCTAAGGCTACAGTGGATTATTTATCCTTATTATTAATAATATTTAAAACATTATTTGGCTAAGTATGTAAACAAATAGAAAACTTCCAGGGTGGGTCTCAGTTACCAGTGTTAGAATGTGTGTGGAAGTACCAATACTCTATACGGCACCAATGTTCCCTCCAAATAAACATAGACAATGGTTTCAAGGGGAATGTGTAAAGCCTCGAGTAGCATTTGAAGGGATGGAGACTGTTCTTGCTCCAAAGTCCCAAAGACACAGGGTTAAGGGAAGTGGCAGAGGCTTCAGGGAGCCAAATAACCTCTAAAATTGCCTAGAGCCACAAAAGTTCTCCTTCAAATACTGACAAATGCAGGCCTAGATGGCTCCAGGCTGGCAATGATGTGAACAGGATCTCAAACACACTCGTACTCCCGCTCATTAGAATGCACCAGAAAGGGATTTTATTGCTGTCATCACAAGGCAAGCAAAGCTTGGCATATGTTCTTAGATTAAACATATTGGAGGCCTGCACTCTTCATTTCCTTCTTCCTCTTGCCTTCCTTCAAAACACACAGAACTCCAAAGCAGAAAAGAATCCTCTTTCTTTTTGTCCCAGTGCTGGTCTGGTATCCTCAGAACTCTAATTCTTCCACCTTCCTTCTTTCTTCTATGGGAATCAGGGAAATCAACAAAAGAAAGAGAACCTATGGCCAGTGAAGGGCAAGCGAGGGAAACTCTAAAGAGTCTCATCTAAGTGTACTGGAACCAACCCATAGGGAGGGTCGCCTTTTTCAGGGGGCTCACAGGCAACAATGAAGAGCTTGTATTGGGCAGCACCTTTGTAGCGACAGTCGGGATACTTCCCTGCAGTGAGACTGCACTGAGTCATGTTAACCGACTTCAGACTCCGGTGACAGTTGTTCCGGCCATTCCTGCAGACAGTGTTGGGCAGATCACAGACGGCAGCCACATGCTGGAAGGAGGCATGCAGAAAGGTATTTTGAGGTTTACAGTGCTGAGTATAATTATTGACACCACGCATTGCCTTGCTGCACTGGAGAGCGCTTGACTGTATATGCTGAATTTCAAACCAGTGAGCCTTGGTGAGAGACTGAGGCCAAGCACAAAGTGGACACGTTGGCCTCCATAGTCCCAGCAACAATAGCAGGAGAGGAAAATATCCCAGAAGATCTAGCACCATCTTTTCTGTGTAGGGAAGGTAATAGTAGTATAGAAGCAATAAAAGCAAAATTATTATCCATAACCATTTAGATTTTTATTGTAACTTTTAAGATTGCTGAACTATCTCTCTTTTTTAAACATTTTCCTTCTCCCTTGTGTCGTACAATTCTATAAAGAACCTGAAGCTCAGTGGGGAGAAAGAGGAGGTAAGATCTTTTGCATGATTGGCAGATTCTACTCTTTTCTTTGTCCTATACTCACGCATTCGACAGCCTCCGCATCAGAAGCCTGCTTTCCTCCCTATTCCTTCCTGAAGTATTTACCCTGCATCTGTGTGACCGAATGGCCCAGAGGTCTTCACAGCCCTACTCTCCCCAACCCCAGGCTCCTCCTCCTACCAGGTCTCCGCGCTGGGGCTCTTGCTGAGGAGCAGAGGCAGCACTCGTTCCCAGGCTCAGAGGCTTTTGCCCGCGACTCCTCTCCCAGGCGCTCCGGGGCGGCCCTGGAAGGATTCTGAGCCCTGGGAAAGAGAAACCCGGGACCTGGAAGATGAACTTCTTGTGCAGAGTGTAGATGAGACTGTTATTTCATCTATTTTCAACATCACTGTAGACACAGGAAGAGTAAACCTATTTAAAGAAACAATGTGACTCAAAACTCACAGTTTTGAGGAACTGATCACTTTCTAAGATGGGTTGAGTGCTTTCTTCCTGATCTGAAGCCTCCGTATTTGAATGTCTATGATTTTAGTTCCTTAGGAGAAAATAAGCCATGTAAATCTGGTATAATAGCTGCCATATACTTAGTAATGTTGTGAGTTCCAAAAACAGACTTGAATGAATTATTCATTTATGTGTAAATTTTTTGGGCCAGATGCTGGTCACCTCAGATCAAGAGCACATGAGCTAATGAAAGAGACAGTCAGGCAAGTAGAAAAATGCATTATGTATTAATAACGATAAATAGTGCTTACTGCTGTGATGGAAGAAACCACAGAAGAAGTGAGGAGATAAGAGAGAAGAGGGTTTTTGTTGGAGGGCACAACACATGCAGAGTTTTGAGGATTAATTAGAAGCTAGGTGAGGAGGATGGTAAGGGCACCCCAAAGAGGGTGCTGTGTGTGGAGAGACCCACACACATGAAGGAGAAGGGCAAATTTAGGGTATTCACCTCTTGAATGTGTTTTTACCTTTCTGTGGGTGCTGCAATACCCTATTCAGAACCTTTTTGTCTCATGGAAGGCTACATAAAAGCCTCCTGCTGCCTCTACACTCTTTCCCTTCCAATCCATTTTACATATTACTTCCAGATTAGTATTCCTGGAGCATAAACATAACAGTGGAACACTCTTGCCCAATGTTTTTAATGGCTCCAATTATCTACAGAATAAAAAGGATATCTGTTTATAGTAAAGTTGCAGGATACAAGGTTAATACATAAAAATGAATTGCTTTCTTATATACCAGCAATGAACAACAGGAATTTGAAAAAACACACACACACACATTTACATTAGTACCAAATAAAAAGGAAATACTTAGGCATAAATCTAATAAAATACATAGAATATCAATATGAGGAAGACATAATACTCTGATAAAAGAAATAAAAAAGATCTAAATGGAGAGATATTCCATGTTCATGCTTTAAGAAACCAGAATACATCACCCAAAAATATGGCTCTTTGACATAAAAATTATTTTATGCTAAAAGCAATTAAGAATCAGCAAATGCAGAAAAAGCTCCCCCTTTTTTGCCTAAATGCAGGAAATAAATTCTCCATTTACTGAGACAGACTCTTACAAGCCCAGAGAGGGCACCAAAGGAATCTTCAAACAAACCTTGTTAAATTAGTCCTTATCTTTTCAGTTGCTTCTTCACATTTATTACCCATAGACCAAGTCCCATCCCTTGTCAATTCTTCACAAATTTATTGATTCTTTGTCTAAAAGGTATAAAAATTCCTACTCTGGTCACTTCTTCAGGTCTTCATTCTCTCTTGAAGGCTCCCATGTACCTGTAAAAATTTGATAAAATTTATATGCTTTTTTCCTACTGATCTGGCTTTTGTCAGTTTGATTTTCAGACACAGTCAGGGGTCCAAAGACATAAAAAAAGAGGAACTCTACTTTTTCCTCTCCTACAACACACAAGAAGAATCAATATTTGTTGGGAACCGGGGCTATGTCCCTTCCCCCACGTCTGAACGCAGCATGGGAAAGCACAAGCTTGAGAGCAACCGGTGCAGTCCTTGGAAGTTATCTGCTCACAAAAACATATCTTGTCCTTGAAGATGAGCCAAGACTCCTCACTCTGAAAATAGGGAGACCTTGAAGATGTGTGAAAACACCTCCCCACCAGCGCCACCTAAGGTCCAATTATCTCCTGACCCACCCCTTACTTGCTACTTGTATAAATTGAGCCTGTAAACAATAAACTTCGCCAGCTTGATCAGACATCCTGTCTTGCTGGTCATTCTTTGTGTCTTTTGCTTGTCTCATTTCTGCAGGCGTCTCCGGCACACTCCACGTTCGTCCCGCGGGCCGGGACAACTGGCGCCCAACGTGGGGCCCTGGGACTCCTGCTGAAACGTCTGCTCGGAAGCCCTGGCCAGGCATTCATTTGAGTCATCGCACAGGTATTGACCTGATGTGGACTCTGCGTTGAGGATCACTGCGGATCACCTGTCCATAATACAGATCCCGGAGAGGTGAGTAGACGCATCACCCAAGCAAGCATCTTAAATACCTCTTGTGAGTTCTCACTGATCCCCTCCCTCTAGTTTGCTGCCGCAATTTATTCCTTGTTTTGTCCTCTGGTTGTTCCTCTCTGAAAACCTTGTGCTTACTTTGGGCTAATGGTCGTTCACCTCTGGGGCCTGCACAAGGGACTCTGACTACAGAGTTCCTGCCCTAGAGGGTCTGAGCAAGCGGATTATACTTGCCGACTGTCCTACGTAAGCAAGGGCTCTCCTGAGCTGATGAGAGTGCCTCCAGTAGTTCAGAATATTGGCGTGGTTGCGGCTGCATTAGTATAATTCCAAGTTACATAGAGTTGAAATCCCAGCCGTCCTAATGGGCAACTCACTGAACTCCCACGAGGTATTTCTTAGCGGACTCAGGGAGTCCCTCAGGACACGAGGAGTAAGGGTTAAAAGAAAAGATCTTAGACAATTTTTTCCTTTATTCATGAGACTTGCCCCTGGTTTCCCCTCGAAGGCACTATCAATCATAAATGTTGGAAAAGAGTCTGGTGATTGTATAGAAAAACCAGCTAAAGCCCAGAAATACCGCCGCCTTAACCTTAAACACTTAAAAGATTTAAAAACAGCTGTTACCAATTATGGCCCCACAGCTCCTTTCACATTAGCCTTAATTGAAAGCCCGAGTGAACGGTGGTTGACTCCTAATGACTGGGGTTGACTCCTAATGACTGGCTTTCCCTAGCTCGAGCCGCCTTGTCAGGAGGAGAGTATGTTTTATGGCGCACTGACTTTGTAGAGAATTGCAATGAGATTGCGCAGCGCAATAGTGAAAGTAAAACTTCACGCGCATGGACAAGAGATAAACTGCTTGGGCGAAGCCCCTATGAAATAAATGAAGCCCAAGCAGCCTTCCCCCCAGGCCTTTTAGCTCAAATCCAAAACGCAGCCCTTACTTAAAGCCTGGCAGCGCCTCCCTCCTAAAGGCTCCGCTACTACCTCCCTAGCAAAAATCCCGCTCCCAACAAATATTGTTAAGATGTCAATCCTTCCCAACTTGATTTATATAGATGTAATACAATCCCAATCATTACCCCAGCAACTTATTTTGTGGGCCCCAATGAACTGGTTCTGAAGTTTATATGAAAAGACAGAAGACCTAGAATAGCAAACATATTACTGAAAAAGAAAAACAAAGAGGACTGACACTACCCAATTTTAAAACTTACTGTAGAGCTACAGTAAACAAGATAGTGTGGTATTCTCTTAGTCTTAGGATGGAAAGCCACAGGGCTCCACTTCAGGGACTGCCCACAACTGGAGCCATCTGTATACCAAGCATACTCAGGTATAGGGGCTTTTCCTTCCTGATAAGGACTCTCAGCTACCAATGGCTCAAAAGCAAGTTCTTCACTCTGAGAATAGCCTGGAGCAAAGGTGTCAAACATCAAAGACTGATTTCTGCGCACAAAGGAATTATCGGGCCCTGGAAAAAGATAACTCCAGAGATGAATTATCTGGAGTTATCAGGAGACAACCAGAGATCTCACTCCTAAATCACTTCCCAACAAACTTTTGGGGGAAAGTCCCTGGTGACTAGGCTATGTCCTATGAGAATTTCAGGGAGGAAAACCACTTCTGGAGTTGTGAACTATGGGAACTTCATTGAGAGATAAGAGAGTATCTAGTCAATGGTCTATTTTTTGGATAAAGTGAGATTCTAGAATGTCCATTGTGGATAAAATTGCAATATTTCCAGAATCTCTTGTCTAGTACAAGTTCCAGAAACTTGTACTAAGTCTCTTGCCTTAGTACATCTCCGTATCAATAGGTGTTTCCAAGGAGTGGAGAGATGTAGTCCATCTCCATATCAATAGGTGTTTACAGTGGGAGTGAGGGCATATCTGGACTGGAGAGGTTGGGTAAGCCCTTTTTTTGCAGCCAGGTCACAAGAGACATGGGCAAGCAGAAGTGGACAACTGCTTTAAGCAATAAATGGGTTTCTCCCATTTTATTTCTCCCTTTGACTGATTTTGGCTTCAAAGGTAATTTGCCTTGAGGTAGGAACATATTTTTGCCTTGGAGTTACCACTGGTGGTAGTTGGCAGGACCTCTGAACCCAAAATATGTCTTCATGGGTGCAACCCTTGTGCAGACTGCTCCTACAGATAGTGGGGAGATACCCAGAAAACCCCCTGTGGATGGTGGGGAGTTCCCAGTGGCTGCTGAAGTTGGGGGTGATGAGTCACCCTTACCTCCAGCAGTGGTGGAGGGTGCAGCATCATCAGGAGCCCTCTATCTTTGGGGTTTCCACTTGAGGAGTCCCTAGTGGGAAATTGGTATAGGGTAAAGCACCTCCTAGATAGATGGATCCTTCCCCAGAACTTGGGAAAGGTGGAGACACCAGAAACTGTGGAATTAGCCCTCTGTGAGATAGAAGACTGCTTAGAGGCCCTGAGTGACCATGTAACATCTGGGATTGTGGGATGTTTTTTCCTGAGATAGTGGAAAGGGTTATCGAGGAGAGAGACACACTTCAGCATTGCTTGGAAGAGCTGGGCGATGACCTATGGGATGCCCTTAAGAAAGAGAGACAGTTATTGAGAAGACACATTGTGCTCCTGGAAGATATGTTAGCAGCAAGGGAGGAGACAGCAGGAGAATCCGTGTTGCAGGAGGCAGTCAGGGAAGGGGCAGCAAGAGTGGTGCCTTCGCACCTGGAGATGATAGAGATGTCAGGGGAGGATGAGGGGGTGGGGCCCAAGGCCAAATTGTTGCCAAGGCCACAGCCCGAAGCAACAGCCTCTCCTGTATTAAAAGCCAGCCCAGTTGTAATTAAGAAAATAAAAACGCATCACCCATGGGCTCCTCAGGGGGAGGAGCCACCCCCTCCCTAGGTTGTGGAGCACTCCAGGCTTTGCCCCATACCAGAATAAGCTGGTGGACATGAGCATCCGGTTTCAGCAGAAGCCATCGGAACCTCTGCCTACATGGCTTTTAAGTCTCTGGGATATGGGGGTGGAAAACATTGTTACTTCCAGTACTGAAATGGATACACTGCTTTCCCTGATGACTCACCCTTCCCTCCAGAAGTAGTTGCAGAGTGCCCATACACCTCAGAATCAGGTGCTTCTGGATTGGCTGACAGCAGCTATCAGGTCAGTTTGGCCTAACCAGGGTGATTTACCATATTTACCCACTAGCTAGAAAACGTATGCAGGGCTCCAGAAGGTGTTACAGGAGTTGGGCATGAAAAATATCACCTATAATATGGACCCCCAGGGCCCCAATGAGGAGTTGTTCACCATAGGAATGAGAAATCTGGTGCTGCATACAGTTCCCACATCTCTCTTGGAGTCCCTAGTGACTATTATTGCCCCACACACAGGGAAACCCATAAGTGAGGCTACTTGTACGTTGGCAGATCTGGAGAAGGTTGAAACAATAAAAGCATGAAAGGAAGTACAGGCTACGACTGAAAGGAGAGGTGCAAAGGGCTCTGTAAATGTCTAGAGGACCCAGATGTGGGTTGATTTGATAAAGTCAGGGGTAGTGAAAGAAAAACTCGATGGAAGCCCAGTAGGATTTTGTTAGAACTGTGGCACCAATTAAAGCCTGACTCTGATGTAGCCCAATGGTTACATCAGCATTTGTTGCACATGGGGCAAAAGATAATGTGGGCTGTAGCTCATCAGTGGGGCTTGCAGTTGACCTTTGAAAAAATCAGGAGTGCCTGGAAGGAGTGCCTTGTGTGCTCTCCAAGTCCTGAAGCAACATGGGACAATTGTAAAGGGGCCAATACCCCATGTCAGGTGGCATATAGACTACATTGGGCCTCTGCCCATATCAGAAGGATATCAGTATGCCATGACTTGTGTGGACACAGCTGTTGGTTGCTTTTCCTGCACATCATGCAGATCAGTAAATGGCCAAAAGGGGCCTAGAGTGTCTCTTTGCAACCTATGGTTGGCTGCAGATGACTGAGAGTGATCAAGGCACCTACTTTACTGGACACACCTTACAAGAATCGGTGCATCAATTAGGAATAAAGTGGGAGTTTCATGTATCAAACCTACCAGAGCAGGCATGATAGAGCAATATAATAGTTTGTTGAAATCTGGCTTGAAGTTCTGTACACCAATAGTCTCTGGGGCTGGTAAATTTGCTTACAGACAGTCCTACAGTATTTGAATGAGAAGCCCCGAAAAGGAGCCTTGAGCCCTGTGGATATGCTAACACACATTGTTGCCCCTCCTATACAACTGTATGTGCAAACCAAAGAGGAGTTATTGAAACCAGGATATGGCCACCAGAGCAACATCTTGCTGCCAGCCCCAACTGCATTAAACCCTGGAGACTCTGTTGAGTGGACATGGCCCTGGAATTTTGACACATAAGCCAGCTATGGCTGGCCCTTCTGGCACCTTGGGGAAAGGCCTGGAAGCTGCCCTCCTGTGTGTTCCTGAAGTAACAGCAGAATGGCCCCAAAGATAATGGTAGTATGTCCAAAACATCCAGGAGGTAGGAACATCTTATGAGAAAGTTTTGTTTTATCTTTATGGCTAGTGCATGTACCTCTCGTAGCCCTGTATATTGATGCATCTGTAACTCCCACAGGGAGGGGGGTGAATGTCTGCTACTAGACCAGGACAAGATCCCATTCCTGACAGTGTCCTATCACAGGATTACTCTCTTGCATGCATCCTACCTGATAGATAAGATTTGCCTATACTGGTGTCATTAAAACATGCATCTTATCACCTTAAAGTTTATTTTCTACTACAGTCCCTGTGCCTGGATGTACCCCCTGGCTGCAGCTGCTGTTTGATGCTCTGAATTCCCTACCTGTTCAGCTACTGGCCACCTGTGGAATGGGTGAGCTATGGACTTAATCTGCATAGGACTTTGAATTTAGCTGAATCCTCTGGCTTGAGGATTATCATGATTTTATTGCTTTTGTTATGGTATGTTATTAGTCTGGTTACAATGCTCCAGTTTTCTTGCACCAGGGCCATTGCAGAAGATGGGGAGCATGTCGATTGTGAGGTGAGTTTTCCAGAGGGGTGGACTGTGGGTAAAACTGCAATATTTCCAGAATCTTTCACCTGGCCTTAGCACCTCTCCTTATCAATAGGTGTTTCTAAGGGGTGGAGAGAAGTAGTCCATCTCCATATCAATAGGTGATTATGGGGGTGGGGGGCTGTGAGGGCATATCTGGATGGAAGAGGTTGGGGTGGGGTCCCTTTTTGCAGCTGAGTTTCAAGAGACACAGGTGAGCAGAAGTGGACGACTGCTTATAAGCAATAAATGGGTTTCTCCCACTTTATCTCTCCCTTTGACTGATTTCGGTTTCAAAAGTAATTTGCCTTTGGGTGGGAACACAGTTCTTCAAGGGTTGCTCCTAGCTAAGCCACGTTGGTTCAGTTTCTCAACCTTCTTACCAGAATGTCAAGAAGGATAGCAGAATATGCCACTGCAAAATATGCCTCTTTGGCATAAGGATTATTTGAGATGCTGATTTTTAAGAAACAGCAGACATGGTAGAAGCTTTGAAAACTGAGTAAAAGTTACTTTTTTGTAAGGAACACTTACATTTATACAAGCATCACCCTTTGTCAGGTATCTCTCTCCTGGTACCAGGAAATGAAGGATGACTCTACAGTACAAGAAACTCTCAAAGGTGGAAGAAGCAAGGACTTAAATCTGCATAAGGACCCTTACCTTTGTCTGCTGTGCCTTTTCTGGTCACCTGCCTTAAAGTGCCTTCCTTATCCCCACCCCCAACATCTTTTGTCTTTAGCTAAAGAAGGTATTTACGATGGTGGCTTAGGTCAATTTTACTTAGTTTCCTGGAATCGACCATGTATACAGGAGATAATATCTTGTTAAGTGCCTGTTTTTTTCTCTTGTTAACTTGTTTTTCTTACAGTGGTGTCTCAGCCAATAACCTAGAAGAGTAGAGGGAAAATTATTTTTCCTGTCCTACAATCAGGATATTCACTTTATAACTAGAACTTATCTTTAAAGCATGTTAGTCACAATGTGTCATCCTGTTTTATAGCCTCTTGATCTTCTCTTTGAATGGGAAATATGTCATGAGGATCATCATGTTGGCATTTAAGGAACATGCTGGTATTTATAGAAACCCTGGTGCACTTTAAACTGCAGCTCATGTTCAGCATTCCTTGAATAATAAGGAATCATGCTGATATCAATTATTGATTATTGTTCTAGCTCTGTCATTCCCAGTGGCAACTAGTTAATCCAGAGTTGCTGAAGTGTGATATTCTACTTTTGATGTTGAAAAAAATTACTGTGAACCCAAAATATATATCCATGAACTCTACTATGAGCTAAGCCAGAAGTCCTAAGTCCTCTTGATATAAAGCCAATCAATTAGGAAGCAACTAAACTGTGGAAAGGATCCCTTTGTATGTGCAAAAACAAGCAACTACCAAAGCAGCCCAGAAGGTAAGCTAGCCACTGTTTCTAGAAGCTGCTCGTTGCATCTGCTTCCTAGACTCTGTCCATTGGCTTTTGTAACAGAACCTGCTTGGGTTCTCACTTCTGCTTTGAGTTCTTAAAGAGATACTATCCTTTTAACATAATTTAAAATCATCTGTTAATCATATTCTTTCTTTAAACATTTTCCTTGATTTTTAACTACTTCCTATTAATTCCTAATATTTCCTTTTGTTAACTATGATCCTTCAACTTTTGGTACAACTGTTTCTCAAAGGCATAATAGTGACAGATCCCTCAGGCAGATCATTATATCTCACCAAGGACTCCATGGATAGAATTCATAAGGTCCATGAACTTGTATGGAGAAAAATTCGATCTTTATTTTCATTAAACCTCAACTAAAATGTAGCAATTCCTTCACTTATGAATGTAGAAAACAACAGAATCAGATATCAGTTTATCATTGTTGCAAATATCTCAAAATATTTCACTTTGATCACTAACTCAAAATTATGGTAATAATTAGACCCATATTTAGATCTTACAATTTGATGCTTTAGTAAGCACTTAAATTACTATATTACAAATTTTAAATGTTTGATTTGATTTTCTTTATTATCCAATGTGTTTTGTGCTTGTAGCAACATTGTTCTGAGAACAATTATTACTGTTACCTTGTTCTCAGTTGTTCTTAGTCTCAATTATTCTTTGGCTTCACCAGAATGCCAAAGGCATGCATGACACTACAAAGCTTCACACCTCTCCCCCAGAGGATGGCAGAGTAACATAATGGACAGAATGGCAACCCTGAATAATTTGCACCACTTACCTAGGAATTCTTAAGTAGCGGAAATTCTTTGTTCTTAAATAACTATATTGTTTTCACAACTTAGCCTTTCCCTGACTAGCCCCATTTTGATTGCCTGGACAGTTGTGATAAATGTTATCTTTTATTATTAATAATATTATAATTCAAACCTGCCTTAGCTATTTTTACCAGGGAGAAATGGAATGTAAATATTTCAAAGAAAAAAAAAGACTGCATTATTTTTTATTAGGCTTTGAGTGAATTTCTGAAATCCCAATACAGCCATACTCAGACAGAAATACACTGTGCCATAGTACTTCTTTAATGCCCAAAACTGGGTTCTGTTTCTCTTGCTCACTCTTGCTCTCTCTTTCTCTCAGTGAGATCAAATGTCTGGGAGGAAGTTAAGAAAAGGACATGACCATAGGACTTTCTGTGGAAGCTGGATATCAAGAAAATGCCCAAAATGACGATACATAATCAAAATACCTCCAGGCTTTCAAACATAATAAGGAAGACCTGAGTTTTAGCTATGTGATGTGCATTTTGGTAGGAATGATGGTGTTAAAACCCAAAACTCAACTGAGTAGATCTTTAAAATCTTAGTGGCTTCATTTACCAATTCACCAATCAGGCAGCATCCAGCCCAACAGACTGAAAGGTGCCCCAAGGAGCTGTGCATGAAGACTCTAAAGGCGGAAGGGAGAGGGGCAAGGAAGTCATATTGGGCAAAAAAGTGGACTGGTTACGGCAAGGCCACTCTCCTTTTGGAGACGGCAGGAGTCTGCCAGGCACATGACTGAGCTAGCGCTCATGAGGCGATTCCTGATGGACTGGATTGAAAGTCCGTTTCTGGGACAGCTGAAACTATAATTAAGTCTTGGTTTGGTGACATAGGGCTTAACATAATTAACTCCAATTTGGGCTTGTTGTCTTGTTTTTAACATAGGGAACAACAAGCTCATTCAAATGGGACAGACACTAAACGTGTGTGTCTGATCAGTCAGCAACTTTGCAGAACTTGAAGAAGCTAGTGAAAACACTCAGTCCTCTTCAGATTCAGTCAAGGAGCTATAACTGAGTTAAGTTCTGGAGATCCCATGTATAGTATGGTGACAAAGATATGTCAGAAGAGGACAGTGGGCCCAAAATGGAGTCATTCATGCTACATCATCAAACTGAGAGTTAACTATTATGGTTTTTGCTTTTGCCAGAAATGGAATCAATCCAGTCCATCAGGAATCACCTCATGAGCACTAGTTCAGTCATCCACCTGGCAAACTCCTGCCGTCTCCGAAAGCAGAGCGGCCTTGCCATAACCAGTCCACCTTTTTGCCCAGTATGACGTTCTTGCCCCACTCCCTTCTGCCTATACAAGTTTTTCATTTTGTACAGCTCCTTGGAGCGCCTTTCTGTCTGCTAACTTCTTCAAGATGTTGCTTGGTTTGTGAATTATTGAATAAAGCCAACAAGATCTTAAAGATTTACTCAGGTGAATTTTGGTTTTTCATTGGTAGCAAGACTGTACTGTATACCTGAAATTCTCTACCAGGGTAAATCCTAAGTGTTCCTACCACACACACACACAAAGTAACTATGTGAAGTGATAGATTTGTTAATTAGCCTGATGGTAATGATTATTTCACAAAGAGTATGTACACCTAATCAGGTTGTACACCTTAAATATAAACAATAAAAAAAGATTTGTATATCTGTTGCACTTGAAATGTTTTCAGTTTAGTCCCTATATGTTTCACACATACTTTTTTAAGTAGCTAGCTTCTTCATATATCTCTATTCCTTAATTTGTTTCTAAATATTCAAAGAAAGAACACCTGAAGTTAATATAATATTTTGCCACTTATTCTTCAAAAGAATAAAAATAAAAAATTTTTTTAAAAAGAAAAGGGAGGTGTGTGAGAATTGTCTTTGCAAGGAATCATACCCTCTGGAGTAAATGAAACAAAGGTTTTTCATCATGGATCTGATGGGCATTAGTCTTTGACCAGAGTTTATGAGGATATCGAAAGTGTGTGCATATTTATAAACTACAGAGAATCAAAAGAGGATAAGAGATAAAAAAGATCCTACGTGCGAGAGCCACAGCACAGTCTTCTCAGATGCCTATAGCTTACGTCCTTTATTACAAGGAAAACACAAAAAATTAGTCAGGAAGAGTGAATGAGTCTTAATGATCTAGTACATTTTTAATACTCTAACTTGTTAGAGTGATTCAAAAGTTTGGAACAAGAAAAAAGAAAGTTCCTTGCATCATTTCTTGATCTTATCAGACTGGAATGTCACAAGGGTGCCAAGTTATACAGACAGAACTGTTATTTTGCCAGCATATATTTCCAAATGTTACTGCTTCCCCTAACATCTGACTTTTAGGAATAACAAAAAGTGAGTACTTTTAAAACATTCCTTTTGATGAAGCAGAATGTGCCCTGGATTAGTAGCCAGTTAAACTGGAGTTTTGCCTCAGCTTTTCCACTAAATTCAGGTCTTCAGCAAATCCCTTAACTTTGGGCTCCTCCATATAATAGCAACAGTACAGAGATGTTGTGGTATTAAAATGATACAACTTAGGTGAAAGTACTCTGAAATGCTTGAAATGCTATATGAATAAGTATAATGACTATATTCCACAGGATAGGATCTATGAGAAGTAAGCTAACCAGTATTATAAAAGGAAGCAAAAAAATTTATTACAGAATAGCCTAGACTCACTATAGGCTTATGTCTTCATTTCTCTTCAATGCAGTGTATTCAACAGAATGGTTTATATAGAGTAACAGAATAAGAAATGGGCAGAGGAGGCAGAGCTTGGGACAGCTCAAACACATTACTCATTGCTCTTCAAGGAGTAAGTTAAAGCTGCTGCTGGGTGGTAACTCCTGAAGGGTGGCGTCTACCTGTCAAAATGTACAGGCACTTCTGGGTTACCCTCACAGGCAATGACAACACGCCTAGTGCTGGCCTTGGCCCGATATCTGCAATTAGGGGCCTTGGAATTTCCTGTCTCCTTGCAGTCTGTGACCTTCATTACACCCTCATGGCAGTTCATTTTGCCATTCTTGCACAGGATATTGGCGGTGCTGCAGATACTACGAATGTTCCAGATACTTTCATGGATGAAGGTGTTGAAGCGCTTGCACTGGTGCAAAGTCATCTTCCGTCTTTGCATCATCAAGTTGCAGTAGCCATCACTGCCAGTTGACACATCGGGGTCCACATGTTGCCGCAGGAACCGTTGGTACATGTGATCCTGGCCATAACAGGGCTGTACCAGCACCAGCACCAGCAGGGTCAGCAGCAAGAGTAGGAGCAGTGAGTGGGGCCTTTGTGGAGCCATCACAGCCGTGGAGGTGCCTAGAGAGATACCGAGGCACAGGAGAACAGAAGGTAAGAACTGAGCAAAGGAGACAGTGTTGAAAATGGCAACCTGTTTCCTCAACTCCATAGTCCCCTCTTGCCTCCTTCTTATATGTACTGTCTCCCCACTCCTTTCTACTCCCTTTCCCCACCCTTGCTTCCCCAAGAGTGAACAGTTTGCAAACATGGTCGTCTCTAAGAGTAAGAGCCGTTCCCTTTCACAGAGAGAAGTTGCTACAACCAGTACAAGGACGCAGGACAGAGCCAGACGGCGTGGCTGTCCAGGTGTATATGGCCTGTATGGTCAGGGTGAGAAAGGGGAAAAGGCAGATCCAAAGGAAGCTGGAATTGTCTGGATAATTCCCTAATTGTGTGAACTTTGGATCTTGTTTGCTTCCCCGGAGACACTGATTCCCAAAAGTTTGGACAGACTCAGGATATGTCAAAGAAAATTTATGAACTGATTTTAATTTCTTACATCTGGGAATTGAGAAAGGTTGTAGAAAAGAGGATAGAGTAACATTAGATTTAGTCTTTCCTGTCATGTGGCTATTCTTCTATTGATACTAAAATCAGGTTCTTTTAGAAATCCTGTTAATCCTATATAAAAAGACAAACAAGCAAACGAAACCCTGAGTGTCCAGCCACAGAGCTTTGAAGATAGTTAACATTGGCTGATGAACTAATAAATGAAATCAATGAGCTAATGAACAAATGAAGTGAAGGTGTTTCTTAAACTTATGGAATTGACTAATGAGAAAAGCTAAGAAACATTTAAAAAGTAAATTTAAGCAGTACAACCTCCACAGAAGAGGACTTGGATTGTGTCTTTGTTTTTTCTTGACATTTCTATGCACAACCAAAAATGCTAGGCCCTGTTGATACACCCCACTGTCACACATCTGCCCTTGATGCTCTGCCCTTCTTGTTAGCTGTTGGTAGTCATCTGTATCCTCGAGTTGCAGGGTCATTGTGGTGGCACCTCTTGGCAGTGGAAAATAGAGTTTTTTAGAGGGTTAAACAGCAAACAAAAAACCTCTAGAGCAACAACAAAAGAGTGCTTTGCCATGTAGTTTCAGAACATCACTTGTGTTGACTGACTGAAGAATGGAACCCAGGCCCATGTGGCTCTAAAACCTGTGCTCCCTCCACCATCCTCTAGTGCCTCTCATCCCATTCCCCAAACATTCAGGATATTAAAGACGTTTGTGCTCAGAGTTGCTTCTCTCTGGCAGCACAGTTTAATCAGGGGTGGAATGGGTTGGCAGAGGAGGTGGGAATCACTCACCAGCACTAACTAGCCAGATGCTGCCTGCTGGCCGTCACTTCATTCTGGGACTGACATGAACTCGTGGACTATGAATCTACTTAACTCTTGCAACAAGGAGGGGCTGAGTCACTGGAGCAAAGAAAATTCATCCTTGATTCAACAGAAAGTGATTCAACCCAAATCAGCAGGGGCAATTCTCTGAGAGTCAGACGGGCCCACGTCCACATGTGCAGTCCAAGGGCTGGTCCCAGCTGAGCTCCTGGTTGGACATATCTGAGTGCCACTGTCCTTTGTTTTCAGTGCTTCTGCTTTATGATGGTGGATCACCCTGTGTGAATGACTGAAATGGCTGAGGAGGGACCTGCAATTTGTTTCATAGGGTCTAACATAACTACCATTGTTTTACATGCCACCTCCTATGTTTGCAGCCACCTTTCACCTGTGCACAGAAAGATATAAACTCTATGTCATTTTTCTGTGCCTGCAGCTGTGGATATGGAATATGGAGTCAGGAAGAGAGGGATGTGAAGGTGTTGTGGGAAGAAGGGTGGCAGGGAGAAGTGGTCCTCCCCCCAAGACCAATGGATATGACTTCTGAAGATACACTTAGCCCTGGGTAACAGCTTCATCACACAATATATTTTGAGTTGTTTTTCCCAAATCTAATCTTACACCTCTAATCTTGCACAGTTCTGTTTGCTTTTCTCATCCTGCTTCTTTGTCACCAAGAACATGGCTTAACAAGATAACTGGCTACAGAGAAGGCTTAAACAATTCATGAGAGAGCAAATCATGGCCTCGGTTCCACCATCCAGATTTAACATGAGAAAATATTCGTGAACAGAGGTCCCCTGTAGACATCAATGGGCACATCTCAGAGCTCTAGCTAAAACAGAAAATGAAATCACACCCAAATCATCCCAGCACATACTTTTTGGCCAGAGCTTGGCCCAAAGGCTTTCTCCACCACACCACATTGGCTTTCCACAAGATCTTCTGATACTGTGACCCCCAAAGGCTTAGCTCTGCCATGCTGACCTTGAGAAAATTACTTAACCTCTCTCAGCATACTTCCTTCTAAGTAAAATGAGCATAATAATAATACAATACCTACCCTTTAAGGATGTTATGAAGAATACATGATAAAATCAATGTAAAGAGCTTATCACAATGCTTTATCACAAGCCCACGGAAAGTGTACCGTAAATGTTGGCAATTATCATTTTTACAATTTCCATTTCTCTTGGCTTGCTTTGCTTCCTTCAGTCTGGTAAAATAGTGAATGGCTACACTGAACTGCATGTATTATTGACCCCTCTATTTTATAGAGCATTTGTATTCCCAAGAAATTAGAAAGCTGTATTTAAGCAGACATATCTCAGCCACCAGAATTTATGCTGTGCCCATAGAAAGTTTTCCTCTCCAAATTGCATGGAATTTTCTTCCTTGTGAGTTACCATTCTCCAAAGGACTTGTCGTTTGGGAGTGTTCTTCTCTTTTCCTTGAAAAGTCAGGGAAGCACAGCTGGTCAGGCCTTCAATGCCTCAGATGATGCACCTGAGATAAAGTGACTTGCCTGTGACTTGACATTTCATTCTATGTGGGAGAACAAAAGACCTGAATCAAAAAGTACCCAGCTGCTAGCTCCAGTAGCAATCAGGAAGCACTCCATTCCACTGCGGTGAGATTTCCTAGGAAGCAGTCATTTGCCCCAACACCAGAGGAGGGTATATGAGCAGTGATAATGCTCTCAGCAAATGTTTGGAGACAATGGGAGTTTTCACAGCTATGGTATGATCAATATAATAATGGTCCATGCCTCTGACCTTCCCTTTCAAGACTTTACATGAGGCACTGATCTGTATGGGAGTCATTTGACCTCTTATCAAGGAGACAGTACTGACTGGAGAACCTGAGAAAGGGGTCTAAACGTTCTACCAAAACCTGGAACTTCCTCTCTTCCTAAGGGGTTTTTGAGATTTTAGAAGGCAAATTTCCTAATAATAGAGGTTTGGAAACCTCTCCTCCCTACTTGCTCAGGAAATGACAGTGTTTTCAGTTTTGAAATCGATTAACTCAAGGTGGACAGATTCATATGCTGAGGGTGCCCCAGTAACCTCCTTCTCCATCCCTTCCTCCATAACGTGAATACTTCCAGTGAGGCAGGGCTCTCCCAGGTGGCAGCTGGACACTGGTATACAACTCAGTACTGAGGAGGGCTTTTGGCCCATTTCAGGGCAATGTAGGCAGCAGGAGAGGCCCCCGTTGGTGATACTGTGATCACTATCAGCATATATTCACATGACAGAAAAACTAGTGATTTATAATTACAATTTATTAACTACTTCCTAAATAAAATATCCAAGCACCTGTTGATAGAAATTAGGTAACAGGAAGTTGATCACTGACCCTGTGAACTGATCAATATATTTTATAGAATGTCTGTTAATTTATGTTTATATTTATGATTTGAAAACAAATCAGGTTGAAGAAGAATAAAGGATAGGTTTGGAATATTTCTGACTTCCTTAGGACCTCACAGTTGCCAGTCATCAGTTGGAAAAGTGAAAGATTAAAGAGAAAATAATGTAATCGATTTTTTAAATCTTCATATAAAATAACCATGAGCATATCCTGGGAGCACTCCATTCAAAGAAACATCACAATTACCTCCTTCTTAAGTGGTAGATATCTGGAATGGACTTTGGTATCCAAGTAGCTGTATGCATTTGTACATGTGTGTGAGAGAGAGAGACAGAGAGACAGAGAGACAGAAGGAGACAGGAGAAAAAAAACATGTAATTCATCTTCTTTAGTCCAAAACTCTTCTCCTCAACATTTAACATTTATAAAAGTAATATTGGTTTATTATTTGATAGCAAAAGCTATTTACCCCTCCTGAAAATTCTGCTTAGTGGTCTAGAGCCCTGGAATTTTCCCAGCTCTCACTGCAGGATGATTTTAACATCCTTACCTTCACAGAAAGGTAAAGTCCACCTCCCTATTGACTGATAAGGAACTGACTGATAAGGAAAAAAGCATTTCTATTACATCCAGTCCTCTCAGAGGCAGCTTAGTAGAGAAAGTGGGAAAAATCAATAGGTCAAAAATCAGTGAGAAGACTTTGATTCTTACTGATTTCAGAGACATTCTTATTTATTAACCATATTGTAGAACAAAAAGCAAAGAATCCAGGGAGCTCAATTTCTGAGTCCCTAGGCAATGAATGCTGCCACCCCTGTTCTCAGGTGTGAGGAGGAAAATGCAAGGAGAGCAGAGCCGGCTCTGGGCCAGTGGCCTGCCGGTTATGGGTGGAAAAAGGACTCATCAAAGTGGACAGGCAAGCCGTTCTCACAAGCAACAACAATGAGCCTGGAGCCTGATGTGGCTGTGTACTGGCAATGGAGGCCGGGGGGACCCTCCCACATGCCTGCAAGTGGTGACCTGGGCAGGAGACTTGCTTATTCTTAAAGTTGCTCCATATGGGTTTCCATTCTTGTTTTCACAGATGGCCTTGAGGCTACCCTTGTTGCCATGAATAAAGGTTTTGGTGTCTTTGCAGGGTGTGGTCAGGCCTCGTCTCTCCATCATGCTTTCACAGTATCGGTCATTCTGGCCCCTGGGTTTGGCATCATAGTGCTGGGTCAGGAAGTGTTTGTACCTGGAGTCATCCTGAGCCAGGGCAGGTGGGGTCAGCCCCAGAGCCAGCATGAAGACCAAGGACAGGGGGCCCAGGCCCATCACCATCTCTTCCAACAAAGGCTCCTGCCAAGGGCAAAAGGAGGTGTGGGAGGGGCACAGAACAACATTGCCAAATTAGGCTGAAAGGAGGGGGACTTTGTCTCTGATGGGGCATCATGAATCTGGTATCCTGAGTCAGCTAACTGTATCTTTTCTTTCCCTTCCCTCAGTAATCTTATCCTTCTTGTCAATCCATTTCTTTGGAAAGTTAATTTAAAAGTTTCTTCAATACAACATCCAGTCCCAAACATTCTTTCATCCTAAGGAATACCTTAGGATCCATGAGTATATGCCTTTCTATCAGTTGTAGCATTATAAAATCCAATCACATTTTAATTCATTTGTTAATTAATTCAATAACAACATTACATTAGCCCCTCCTGGGTACCAGGCATTGTGCTAGGTCCTGGAGTACAAATTCCATTCAGACCCACTTGCCTTCCTAAGAGAGCATGCGGCTCCCATGGGGAAAGGATGGGTACTCCAATTTACTGATGAGACAATGAACTGGGTGTGTGTGATGAAGACGAGGGACTTTTAGGGACCCCTGAGCCCAGGGAAGGGCCAATCAGAGGATTGTTGAAGATAGGATTCCAGGTACTCAGGTCAATTAGTCAGCTGGCTATGAGGAGAGCAGTTGAGAGCAGTTTCACCCTGAGGTGAAGGGAGGCCGACCTAACTCCCCAAGAAGTGGAAAGATGGAATTACAATGTACTATTTACAAAGGCAGGGAGGAGCCTTGAAGGATCCACGTTATGTTTGGAAGTGGGTCTGGAGTCCACGCTACAGACGACTGGAGGAAGACGAATTGAATTCAAGCTTCTCGCATTGGGAACAATCTGGATTATTCTTAGAGAATATTTTTTAGTTTCCCCTGCATGTGTACATAGGCAAATTATGCTAGCATGCTAAAAAAAAAAAAAAAACCCAAACTCCTTAGACCTTTTCATCAAATCAAAGGCCTTACAATTTAATGGTTTGGTTTCTTAACATCTTCTTCTAAAGAAGAAGAAAGCAAAGAAGAGGTTTGCTGCCATCATCTCTCAGAAGCTGTCAGTCTGTAGAACTCACATATCCTCGGGTGGTGTGTCACAGACACTTAAATGCACCCATAGGGTAAATATGGTGCTTCTTCCTGGGGTATGATTTAACTCAATGATAGATAATTTAAAGTAGAATTAAACAAGTATAAATTACAACAAAGTAAAAAACAAATTTCTTATGAACTTTTAAGATTTTATGCCTTAAGAAATTTGAAGATTTGAGAACTGAAAGGTATTTGGTATTTTCAGCAGGTAGTTTCTGAACACACCCCTAGTCTTTTGGAGAAAATTTTAAAGACCCTTCAGGGCCTTTAGTCCTACTCCACATTATATCAGATCTATATGTGAATGCCCCCACATCCAACAATAAAAGTGATTTTTTCACTGTAAATGTGAAACTGATTTTCATAATTTTGCTTTTCAAATTGTGAGTAACTTCTTTAATTTATGATTGGCTATGATTTCTGGGCAATCATCACACATACTGAGAAATTCTCATAACGGAAGAAACATTTGACCTTCAAATTATTCTTAAATATAAGTTTTATAAAGCCTAAATTTAAAAATTAATTTTAAATGTTCATAGATGTTAAATTAATTTTTAATTTTTATTTTGTGCTTTTCTTGTGTGTAAATAAATTAATGTTATTTTCATATCATATATTTTTGTAGCCCTTAAGGTAGCCACAGGTCCTAGGACTCAACCTGTAGGATGGCTAAATAGCCCTGGAAGTCTGACTATGAATCTAGAAAGACAAGGGACTCTAGCATTCTGCTGCTTACATGGGAGGGAAGGAGACACAGTGAGCAAAGTGAGCTCTTTCTCATCAGCATTTGGCATTGATCCACCTTGTCTATTTCATAATAACTATAGACACATTTGGTACACTGCTGAAGAATACTAAATTATACACTAAGAAGTACTTTGGTCATGCCACAAAAAATGAAATAATTAGCAGCTGAAAAGTTGTCCTCTAAGCACATTGAGTATATTTTGTAATAGAATCAAGTGGAAGTGTTCTTGGGAGTTTAGCAAGAAGGTGGTACATGACTGCAGAGAGGAGAGCCATCCCTCAAAGAATAACAATATTCCTACATGGCCGCTGCTCCAACACAGCTGCTGGGCAGCCATGCTACGCATCTGCCAAGCTCTTTACATTCACATTGTGCTTTTCCATCTCTGGGTGTGTTTTTCTTTCTAGTTGTTTGGAAGACCTCATCAAAGTTTTATTGATTTGTAATCAATGAAGTCTCTTGCTCTGCAATGGACAATATTGCCTTCTAACGTCAAAGGCAATTGTAGAAACACCGGTTCTCAAGATCAGAGGGATTTTAGAGATTACACAGACAACACCTTTCTGCCAGAGAGTTCATAATCCCAGATTTAAAAATTAGCAAGCAGATCTAGAATTGGTGGTGTTCACATGAGTCCTCAGGTGGCAGTGGTGGACAGGAATGTTGCCAATGTCTTCCATGCTGTAGGGGACACAGTGGGTCCTTGTAGGAAGTACCAGTATCGTACAAGTCATGTGGATATTGCTATTCACAGAAGGGTGTGTGAGCTGGCAGGTCTGTCTAGAGTCTCAGTCCAAACACTCTATGCTTTAGCTATTAAGACCAAGGCTACCTCAGTAGATACAAGTGTCAAAGGAAAAGTCACAAAACCAGGATCTACCTACAATGATATCACAGAATAAGGTTTTCCTGTTGTCAAGATTCATTGCTGCCACTTCCAAGTCTACCTCAGTAGATACAAGTGTCAAAGGAAAAGTCACAAAACCAGGATCTACCTACAATGATATCACAGAATAA